CCCCAAAACCCCAAAACCCCAAAACCCCAAAACCCCAAAACCCCAAAACCCCAAAACCCCAAATAGGAGCTCCAGTGTGGATTTTTATAATTTAATATTTTGTGAGTTGTATCTAATAGTAATGATTTTTAAAAGAAAAAGGAAGAATCTATCAAATTTGGACCAAGAAGTAAAGAGGTCCCAAATTGACTTTTTTATGAAGACTTTAACTCCTTGTGCACCTCCAGAGGAGAATCTTGTGTGTTCGCATAATTTTTATGACTCGACTGCTCCATCTATCGACACGAAGGAAGAAAAGACAGTCACTCCTGTGAAGAAGATCTTGAAGAAGCCAAAAATGAAGGTAGGATACAGTTCTAATGTTTGTTTTATGTCTCTCTTCTTGTTAACAATTGATTTGGAGCTTTCCTAAAATTTCATATTTTGTCGAATTGATGAATCCTATTTTATTATTTGAGCAATTAGGATTTGTAGTTAAAATTACTTGTAGAAACGACAGATAAAGGCAACTAAGAGGAGCAAAGAAGAGTCTGAGTATAAAGCGATAGTTAGACAGCCTCCAGGTAATAGGATAAGACTACAATTAATTAATTCATTTACTAGGATAATAATGAAGGTTGGGTTTATTCAAGTTTTAGCTTGCCCAAACCTTCATGTATATTTCTTCCAAAGCTTCTGAACCCTTATTATATGCTAAGATGCTAAAAGAGTATTTATCTAACTATTTGTATAGCTGAAAAGAGACAGACAAGAGCGAAGAAAAATAAATCAAATTTTGATGAAGAGATGGTAGGAATGAGCCGTGACGAAGAGAAAATGCTCCAAATCGCACTAAAGAACTCTCTAAGGCAGAAAAGGATCACCTCCTTCATTCCTTTGAATGAGATCGAGGAGATGAAGGTATACAGGTACTTTCATTCCCATACTTTATAAAATTTCTCCATTTCATGAAAATTTTCGGAAAGGGAAAGTTTGGAAATTTTTATTATAAAGTTTGCTCTAAAATTTTCAGATTTATATCATTTACACCAAAACGTCAGATTATACTAAATTTGTAAAAAATAGGCCATCAGAAGAAGAATTCAGAGATCCGATACATTATATCGAAAAACTATATGCAGAGGGAGCTCATGAGTACGGATGTGTAAAAATCATCCCTCCTTCGAGTTATTGACCTCCGAGGCCAATGGATAAGAGTTCCTCTAAAAGAATGCCGATTAGGCTCCAGACTGTGCAGGAGTTATCACAAGCGAAGGTAGGTGTAGTTAAATAGCTTTTTGGTTGAGTTTGCCATGTTCTAACAGTATTTCATAGCCATTTGATACGAATGAAGAGGGGGTCACATTCCAGGAATTTATGAATAAAGGTAAGCTAGTGTACCATATCTTTGTAGATCCAGGCTCAAAAGCTTTTAAGCATCTTATTGACACCAAGGACTATGATCAAATTGAACGAAACTTCTGGGAGTTCTTAGAGAATCCTGAGAGTGAAACAGTTCAGGTAGACTATGCATCTGATCTGAAGAGTGACGAGTTCATGGCCAAAGAAGCATCTGAGGATGCAAATTATCAGAACCATCCTTGGAATATGAATCGACTACACTTGCAGAAAAACTCTCTTCTTCAGTTCTGTGAAGATAAGTACATCTCAGGGATCACTAAGTCTTGGCTATATGTTGGCATGATGTACTCCTCCTTCTGCTGGCATTATGAAGACTTGATGATGTACTCACTTAACTACATGCACGAAGGAGAAGGCAAGATTTGGTATGCTATTCCAAGCTACCATAGAGAAAAATTTGAGAGGCTGGCTAAGGATAAACTAGCTTCAAGGTTTAGCGAAGATCCTAATCTCCTGTTGGATATCAATGTTATGCTTAACCCAGCTTATCTAGTTGAGAATGGAGTTCATGTGTACAGGACTCATCAGAAGCCTGGAGAAATCATCATGACTTTTCCAGAATCTTACCATCAAGGTGTCTCAGTGGGCTTTAATATCGCTGAAGCTGTTAATCTTGCTTGCCCCAGCTGGATAGAATATATCTACAAAGCTATGACAGTGTATATGGCTACGAGAGAGAAAGTTCCTGTCTTCCCGGTGGACTGGATGCTCATTGAATGAGCCAAAAAGATAGATAGCTGTAGTTTTGATCCAGAGCAGCGAAAAATACTCAAACAAGCCTACTCTCTTTGGCTCCAAAAAGAACTGACAGAAAGATCCCTAGTTGCATCACACTACCAGGACAAGGAAAGATATCACAAAGAAAACGTCAAACTTCTTCCAAACAGAGAAAATGTCGGTGAAGACGCTTTTGAATGCTTCTACTGAATAAATCTCTGTTACTCATCTCTTATCCAATGTCAGAATTGCGGCAGAAACTACTGTATTTCCCACGAACTTCACTGTGGATGTCCAAAAGATCAGATTAGGATTGTTTACAGGTATTCTACGAAAGAGCTACAATCTTTCCACGACCATATTTAAGTTATATCAAGATTTGTATTAACTCTATTCTTTCATACCTATTAGGGGTTTTGGGGTTTTGGGGTTTTGGGGTTTGGG